CCCTGCCAGTGTTTGCTTCCTGCTGTAGTCTGGTGATGTAATCCTGGCTTCTCCTTGCTGTGCCCTTGTCTAAATTTTTCAATGATCTTCCTGTACCTTCTCTAGGCCACTCTCCCTCCTGCTGCGCCTGGTTACATTCTGTTGGATCCCTGCCAGTGTTTGCTTATTGCTGTAGTCTGGTGATGTAATCCTGGCTTCTCCTTGCTGTGCCCTTGTCTAAATTTTTCAATGATCTTCCTGTACCTTCGCTAGGCCACTCTCCCTCCTGCTGCGCCTGGTTACATTCTGTTGGATCTTCAATCTGGCCATCTGTGGGACTCGAAATATGCGGAGAACTGTCCTACCGCCTCTGGTCCTTTCGCCCACCAGTCTGGGAGTCATGGAGCAATCTACTAAGCCCCATTTTTATCTTAATGGGTTTTACTCCCATCTGACACAATTCTAAGCAAGTGGTTTTAGGACTACAGGATCCATCTTGCCTTTCACCTGCCAGGCCAGTCCGTAGTCTTGACCAGTGTTCCCTCTAAGCTGAGTGAGTGTGAGCTAGCTCACAGTTTTTAGCCTCAGGTTCACACATTTTTGCCTTAGCTCAGGAAGGATGGCTCCAGAGCAAACTAAATTACGCAGTAGCCAAATCACTCGCTCACAACTTTAATGCCAGGAGCTCCCCAAGTCGAATTTTTGCAAACAAGACTCCACAGCTTAGAGGGAGCGTTGGTCTTGACTTCTCGAGACAGACTGACCCAATCTCGTTCAGCTACAGCAGGGGTCCCCAACGTGGTGCCACACACGATGACCTTTTCTGGCACCCACCAAGTGTCTTTAGAAAGCGGGTGAGGCCAGGTGGGGCTGTTACCCAGAAGGGCTTCCGATTGGCCACTAGAGGTCTGATTGGCCGTGCAGATGAAAATACTGCTATTTCAGCAGCAGACGCCACCCCAGTGTTGGTTTTATTCACACTCTCATTCCTCTTTCCCAGTGCATTTTTTAAAAAATTGCCCCCCTCTCCCCTGCCCTTGACCGTCTGTGTTTCTGTGTGTAGTTCTGCCTCCCATGGTCGCCATTTTGTGGTTTGCTCTGCCTCCTACAGCAGCCATTTTGTGGTGGGCCCGTCACCCTGTATAAGAATCCCAAAGATGCCCACGCTCTCAAAAAGGTTGGGGACCCCCTAAATCAGAGCCTCCTCACTTCCCAGGCTTCCACAGATGTCATGGCCCCTCTGTGTTTTCTACCATAAGAACATAACATAAGAATATAAGAGAAGCCAATGCTGGATCTGGCCAATGGCCCATCCTGTCCAACACTCTGTCACACAGTGGCCAAAAATACCAAGGGGCCATCAGGAGGTCCACCAGTGGGGCCAGGACAGTAGAAGACCTCCCACTGTTCCCCCCCCCATCACCAAGAACACAGAGCATCCCTTGCCTCAGACCCAGAGTTCCTATCTATACCTTGTGGCTAATAGCCACTGATAGACCTCTGCTCCATATGTTTATCCAGTTCCCTCTTGAAGCTGTTCATGCTTGTGGCTGCCACCACCTCCTGTGGCCGTGAATTCCATGTGTTAATCACTCTTTGGGTGAGAAAGGGAGAAAAGTACCTCTTTCTCTACCTGCTCTATCCCATGCATAATCTTGTAAACCTCAATCATGTCACCCCTCAGTCATTGTTTCTCCAAGCTAATGAGCCCCAAGTGCTTTAACCTTTCTTCGTGGGGACCCCTGCTCTAGCTGAATGAGATTGGGTCAGTCTGTCTTGAGAAGTCAAGACTAAGGCCTGGTCTGGTAGGTACCATGTTTGAGATGCTGTGGGAAGAAGCAGAGGAATTGTTACCAACCTGTCCCTGAGCTTCTCATCTGCCTTCTTCCCACCAAAAAGACCAGACTCCTCAGTTCAGGGGGAACTGAAGACTTTTCCTTCCTTTTTTTGGAACAGGTGAGATCCTTATTGGGGGGCAGCGTCACTTTTACATGGAAACTCAGAGTATTCTTGCGGTTCCGAAAGGGGAAGATCGAGAAATGGATATCTATGCATCCACTCAGCATCCAGCATTTGTACAGGTTAGAGGGCATGATCACTCTTGTCGTAATCTCTTAGACTAAGAAGTACAACTAAATGAAGTTGTAGAACAACGTTGGAGTCCAGCGGCACCTTTAAGACCAACAAAGTTTAATTCTGGGTATAAGCTTTCGTGTACAGGCATACTTCTTCAGATGCGTGCACACAAAAGTTTATACCCAGAATAAAACTTTGTGGGTCTTCAAGGTGCCGCTGGACTCCAACTTTGTTCTGTTGCTCCAGTCCAACACGGCTACCCACCTGAATCTAAATGACGTTGTGTGTGTGTGAGGTGCTTTCAAGTCACTTCCATCTTATGGTGACCCACACACTCTAAAATGCACTTTCGGTCTACTTTCAATGCACTTTAGTGATTGTTTGGAAATGAGAAGAAGACGAGAGGGCAGAGACTGGATTTATGCCCCGCCCTTCACTGCCCAAAGGAGTCCCAGAGCGGCTTACAATCTGTGAGGTAGGTGGGGCTGAGAGAGCTCTCCTGAGAACTGTCCTAGAGAGAACAGCTCTGAAAGACCTTGGGATTGACCCACGGTCACACCGGCAGCTGCATGTGGAGGAGTGGGGAACCACACCCGGTTCTCCCAGATTAGAGTCCGCGCTTCTGACTACTACACCAAACTGTGTAGTGTAGGGTTTTGCCAGTTTACACGGTAAAATTCAGTTACAAAGTGCATTGAAAGTGGGTTAAAAATGCATAACTCGGCGTGTGCATGTGAAAGTGAGTGTGATAGCATTGGTCTGCCTCACTGGTAGGGTTGCCGGCTCTGGACTGGGAAATACCTGGAGATTTTGAAGGTGGAGCTTAAGGGGGGGTGGGACTTCATCTAGGTATAATGCCATAGAGTCTACCCTTAGGGTTGGGAAGTACTTGGGGACTTGGGGGATGGAACTCGAGGAAGGTGGGGTTTGGGGAGGGCAGAGACTTCGATGAGATGTAATGCCACAGAGTCCACCTTCCAAAGTGGCCATTTTCTCCAGGAGAACTGATCTCTATTGTCTGGGGATCAGTTGTAATGCGAGGAGATCTCCAGCTGTCACCTGGAGTTTGGGAACCCTCTCCGTTCTCCAAAGCAGCCATTTTCTCCAGGGGAACAGATCTCTATCATCTGGGGATCAATTGTAATAGCGGGAGATCTCCAGGTGGCGTTGACGACTCTACTCACTGGGTTGCTGGACTGTAATTACATATTTTTTAATCTTTGCCTTGCCATTGTATGATTTGGCTTGTCAGTCACCGAACTGAGGAAAGGTAAGGTATATATTTTTAAATAAGCAAATGTGTATGAAACATTTTCAGCGTTTAGGAAATTCCTGTCCGTTTGCTGTACAAATGCAAATAAAGTGTATTTGAAGGCTAACCATATTCAATCACTATTTCTCAGAAAATTAAGTTTTAAAAGCACCACAGAGTATTTCTTTGGGTCCAGAGAGACTGAAAAAGCGTTGTGAATTTCGTTTCGTTTTGGTTTTTTGCAAAATCTGTCTATTATGCCAAACGGAAAACAGCCCTGTTCAAAAACAAAAAACAGCGTTTTACATTTTTTGCAGGATTTGGTGGCGTCATGCTTAGGCGTCCCAAGCAATCGGATTATGTGCCACGTAAAAAGAATTGGAGGAGCTTTTGGTGGGAAGCTGCTGAAAACGAGTCTGTTGGCTTGTGTTACGGCCGTGGCCGCCAAGAAGTGAGTGCGTGTACTGAGCACGGTTCAGGAACGTGGCGGCGGTAGGGCATGAGACATGAGAAAATCGTGTCATGAATTACTGCAGCATGTTGGGAGGGGCCGTGGCTCAGTGGCAGAGCCTCTGCTTGGCATGCAGAAGGCCCCTGGTTCAGTCCCTGACATCTCCAGTTAAAAGGACAAAGCAGTAGGTGATATGAAGGACCTCTGCCTGAGACCCTGGAGAGCCGCTGCCAGTTTGGTGTAGTGGTTAAGTGTGCGGACTCTAATCTGGGAGAACCGGGTTTGATTCCCCACTCCTCCACTTGCACCTGCTGATGTGACCTTGGGTCAGTCACAAGCCCTGGCACAGCTGTCCTTGAAAAAGAGCAGTTTGTGCCAGAGTTCTCTCAGCCCCACCCACCTCACAGGGTGTCTGTTGTGGGGAGGGGAAGGGAAAGGAGTTTGTAAGCCGCTCTGAGACACCTTTGGGTAGTGAAGGGTGGAGTATAAATCCAGTCTCCTCTCCTCCTCCTCCTCCCAGTCTGAGTAGACAATACTGACCCTGATGGACCAGGGTAGCTTCAGGCGGGCCCGATCTCATCAGATCTCCTTTATGCCCCCCCCCTCGATCGGCCATCTAAGATAACAGCACTCTAAATTGATGAAATCCATACTTTCCCCTTGATCAGAGATGGCACTCAGGGTCATAACAGAGGTGAGGACAACAGCTTCCACACCGATATCCACTAATTTTCCTTGAGGGAAGCATGATCAGTATTTACCAAATGGTGGTGGCGGACAGTGTGGTCAAGTCACAGCCAACTTATGGCGACCCTGTTGGGCTTTCAGGGCAAGAATAAGATGAAGAGATTGGATGTATACCCCGCCCTTCACTACCCGAAGGAGTCTCAGAGCCGCTTCCTTTCCCACCCCCTCCCCACAACAGACACCCTGAGAGGTAGAGGGGGCCGAGAGAGCTCTTTCGAGGACTGCTCGTGAGAGAACAGCTCCGAGAGAACTTGTGACTGACCCAAGGTCACACCAGCCAGCTGCATGTGGAGGAGTGGGGACTCAAACCCGGTTCTCCCAGATTAGAGTCCGCGCTCTTAACCGCTACACCAGACTGGCTCTTATCTGATGAACGGAGATGAACAGAGGAGGTAGACTGCCATTGCATGTCTCTGCATAGTGATCCTGCCTGGACTTCCTGGGTGGTCTCCCATCCAAGGACTAACCAGCAATGCTCCCTCTAAGCTGTGGAGTCCTGTGAGCAAAAATTTTACTTTGTAAGCTACTGGCATTAAAATTGTGAGCGAGCCATTTGTCTACTGCATAAATCAGTTGGCTCTGGAGCCATCCCTTCCTGAGCTAAGGCAAAAATGTGTAAGCCGGAGGCTAAAAAACTGAGCTAGCTCACACTAACTCAGCTTATAGGGAACACTGCCAACCAGGGCTGACCCTGCTTAGCTTCCGAGATCTGATGAGATCGGGTTAGCCCGGACCATCCAGGTCAGGGCTAAACTTACTTCTTATCTGGGTGCTCGCCAAAAACTTGGACTTTGCTTTATCACATGTCATATTTTAAGAACATAAGAGACGCCAATGTTGGATCAGGCCAAAGGCCCATCCAGTCCAACACTCTGTATCCCACAGTGGCCAGAAATACCAGTGCCATCAGGAGGTCCACCAGTGGGGCCAGGACATTAGAAGCCCTCCCACTGTTGACCCCCCCCCAAGCACCAAGATGACAGAGCATCACTTGCCCCAGAGCCCCTATCTATCCCTTGTGGCTGATAGCCACTGATGGACCTCTGCTCCATATGTTTATCTAATTCCCTTTTGAAGCCGTCCATGCTTGTAGCCGTGAATTCCATGTGTGAATCACTCTTTGGGTGAAGAAGTACTTCCTTTTATCCGTTCTAACCCGACCGCTCAGCAATTTCATGCTCAGCAAATTTTGTTTGCCTTTCAAATTGATTGATCTTTTTTTTTTTAAAGGTCAGAATGCTTGTAGGCATTTTTCCCAAGTTGGGTACAGTTCTCCCCCACACACACACACTGCTTTTGAACTTGTCCTACCTCTGTGGATGCCAGCAATGAAGTTACTTTGTCAACACCCACTGCACACCCTGAACAAAATATTAATACATTTGTTGTAATTAAATGTAATGCATCGCATTGATTAAAATGGTAGTGCTTAGAACAACATTTAAATTTAAAGATTTACTTTTCCCTGGATGGCACCCATCATCTTTTGATATTTTACAAGCTGGGGGTCGCAAAGAATTGGAAAAGAGGGAACGACTTGGAAACCCCTCCTCACCTCCAAAATCTGTTTGGTTCCTGTGAATGCTGTAAACTCTCAGGGGAATGAGTAGGCCAATTCCTTCCCAGTTTGGTGTAGTGGTTAAGCGTGTGGAGTCTAATCTGGGAGAACCAGGTTTGATTCCCCACTCCTCCACGTGCAGCTGCTGGTGTGATCTCGGGTCAGTCACAAGTTCTCTCAGAGAGGTTCTCTCAAGAGCAGTCCTTGAAAGAGGTCCCTCAGCCCCACCTACCTCACAGGTCATCTGTTGTGGGAAAGGAAAGGAGATTGTAAGCTGCTCTGAGGCTCCCAAGTGAAGGGCAGGTATAAATCCTCCTCCTCCTCTTCTTCAAACATTTTCTCTCCCCCACACACACACACACTCTGTTCTCCAAGTTCCCCGTTCTTTGGTTTGATGGTGATAGTAGTGCTTTGGCAGGACTGTTTGAGTGTCGTAATGGAGCAGGGTCGCCTGCTCTCAGCTGGGAAATACCTGGAGATTTGGGGGGGTGGAGCCTGGGGAGGGAGGGGCCTGGGAAGGGGAGGGACCTCAGCAGGGCAGGATTCCGTGCAGTCCACCATCCAGAGCGGCTGTTTTCTCTCTGATCTATACGGTCTGGAGACCAGCTGTAATTCTGGGAGGTCTCCGGCCACTACCTGGAGGTTGGCAACTTCATCACTCAGAACAAGCGCTTTCCTTGCCGGATGGGCTGAGCCAGCTCTGTCCGTGACATCAGAGGACAAACTCTGAGAAAGGTCTCCAGTAATCAGCTTCTCCCCCCCCCTCTTTTTTTTTGGTCTAGGACAGGCCGTCCCGTTCGGTGCGTTCTGGACAGGGGCACTGACATGTTAGTCTGCGGAGGTCGGCACCCCGCCATCGGCAAATACAAAGTAAGCCGTGCGGCAGACCCGTGTGCTGTGGGGTGGTTCGTAGGAAACAATCACACCTCAGTGTGCAAGCAGAGTTGGAAACGGGAGTCGTGCCCTGACTCAGGTGTACGTTCCCTGGTCGCTTTAGGCAGCCCACTTTTCCCAGAGCCAAACATGACAGAACATTGAGAGATCTCTTAATCCCTTCTTGTGCTTTGACGATTTGTGGTATGGGGTATAGTTGGGTGCGGAGTACTCTGCTTATCCCAGAGTTCTGTGTAAATGCTAAATAGTGTTACGAAGACCGTTCCAGATGGTCAACCGTGTTGGTCTGAAGCAGCAGGACAAAATTAGAGTCCAGTGGCGCCTTGAAGGTTTATTCAAGGTATGAGCTTTTTGGCCACCGTGTGACACAGAGTGTTGGACTGGATGGGTCATTGGCCTGACCCAGCATTAGCTTCTCTTATGTCCTTAGGTGCACGCACACTTTTTCAAATACCTTTAGACATTTATCTGCTATTCGGACACATTTATTGCTTTACTGCTGTTGACCTTATAACCTTAGAAGCCAAAAATGAGAGATCACGGGAGGAAGTGGAATTCCAAAAACAACATCCGTGACAAAAATAACAGAGAGTCAATAAAGATAAATTACAAAGATGTTTACTATAGTAATTTCTGTAGAAAATTTACTTCCATTATCGCTCATACACTAACGAATACTGCGCAATGAACAATCCGTTTCACAGTATTTGCTTTATCTGAGCGTGTAGCAATCCCAGTTCTTATCAATCACTACTTATCAACTCCCGAAGGAAACATTCCATGTTGACTCTCTAATAACAGAAGAACCCAGGGTCTTCACAATGTATATAACCTTGGCTTGTTATTTTTGACCCTGCGTATCTTAAACATCATCATGTTACATGTTAATTTCCCTGTCTATAAGTTTGAACCTTACACACCATTCCAATGTATTTGAAAAAGCGTGCGTGCGCACGGAAGCTCATACTTCGAATAAAACGTTGCTGGTCTTAAAGGTGCCACTGGACTCTAAATTTGTTCTAGTGTTATGAAGAGCTGGATTTGAGTCCTGTAGCACCATAGAGACAAACAAGATTTTCAGGGCATGAGTTTTCGAGAGTCAAACTTCCCTTTGTCAGAGCTTTGAGTCTCAAATGCTCATGCCCAGAAATCTGATTTGTCTCTAAGGTGTTGCTGGACACAAATCTGGCTCATCTACAGCAGACCAACCGGGCTACCTTCTGAAACTATCTAGTGAGGGTTTTTTGCATAGCGCAATTTTTCTAGAAGAAGTTTTCCCCTTCGGATCCCTTCTCACCAAACACTGTCTCTTTCTGATCAACAGGAAACATGCAGATGCCCATGCAGGCCCTTTAGAAAAAGCAAAGATCACTTGGCTGAGAGACAGGTTGGTGTAGTGGTTAGGAGCACGGACTCTCATCTGGGAGAACCGGGTTCGATTCCCCGCTTCTCCACATGCAGCTTCTGGTGTGACCTTGGGTCAGACACAAGTTCTCTCAAGGGCAGCCCTCGAAAGAGCTCTCTCAGCCCCACCGACCTCACAGGGTGTCTGTTGTGGGGAGGGAAAGGGAAAGGGATTGTACGCTTGTTCTGAAACTCCTTCAGGTAGTGAAGGGCGGGGTATAAATCGGATCTCCTCCTCCTCCTCCACTCAGTGTCTCCATCAGGCCCAACTGAAACTCACAAGTGTTGTGGAAATGTTTATGAAACGTCCTGTCTGTGACCCTCTCAGATTGTCCTGGTTTGTGTGTCGCAGCCGTAAGAAGGGAAGAGGGTTTACTTACATTTGACTGATTTCTGTTTGATAGGGTTGCCTGGTCCCCCTGACCACCGATAGGGGTAGTAGGGTTGCCAGATCCAGATTGGGGAAGTCCTGGCGATTTGGGGGTGGAGCCTGGGGAGGACAGGGACCTCAGTTGGGTACAATGCTATAGAGTCAACCCTCCATCCATTTTCTCCAGGACAGCTGATCTTTGGGGTCTGGAGATGAGATGTAATTCCAGGGGATCCCCAGGTCCCACCTGGAGGCTGGTAACCCTGCTGTTCAGGATTCATGTCTTCTTCCTGCTGTACAAGTATAGCTAAGTGAACAGTACCACTATAACAGACCGCAAAATAAACTGAACATTCAATCCCCTTCAGATTGGCTTCATGAATAATGGCAGAATTTTGGCCATGGATGTCAGTGCGTATATAAATGGAGGATGTACTCCCGACGATTCCATTTTGGTGAGTATTCCTTTAAGGTGATTTTCAAGTAGTGGTAAACAATTCTCTTAATGAAATCGGGTGGAAAGGGGGGCCAGATATTGTACATCCTTTTGCGGCCCAGCAAATTAGCATTCAACATCATGAAGATGTTTGAACAGATGTAAGCAGGAATAACAAGCTAAGTTTATATGGTCACCAATTGTTTGGATTTAATTCCAGGAGGAAAACAGTGAAGCAAATAAATATGTCAAAGAAAATTTGCTTCACCGTTTCCCCCCTGAAATTAAATCCAAACAATTGGTGACCATATAAACTTAGCTTGTTATTCCTGTTTGCATCTGTTAAAACATCTTCATTATGTTGTACGCTGTTCAGCCTCTACCTATATGTATGGACTGGTAACTTCCATTTCAGTGTATCTGAGGAAGTTGTGTGCACACAAAATCTCATGCCTTGAATAAAACAGCTGATCTCAAAGGTGCCACTGGACTCAAACCTTTTTCTACTGCTTCAGACCAACAGGGCTGCCCACCTGGATCTATAAACATTTGTGCTGTTTCTTGCGTATATTTTTCCTGCCTCTCACATGATAAAAATTAACATACATGTGCTAAGGCATCACAGTTTACAACTCTGTCTCTCTGCTATTCGTTATATTGTAATTTTGCTTGCAGAAAATTGAGGCATTCTTAAGCCTTTCAGCTTTTTTTACCGCAACGCAAGACATTCTTTCCCCATGTGAGTTTCCTCGTAAGACAACTTAGCAATGTAAGCTGAACAGCGCTGATGCCCGCTCATTAATGTCCCCATAACGCAGGTTGCAGAGATACTCCTATTAAAAATGGATAACGCCTACCACATCCCGAATGTACGATCCTGCGCTCGTGCTTGCAAGACTAACATAACGTCCAACACAGCTTTCCGGGGATTTGGCTTCCCACAAGGCGGATTGGTTACCGAATCCTTTATAACGCGTGTGGCGGCCAGATGTGGTTTATTACCAGAGCAGGTGAGGGGAAAGAAGAAGGATGGAGTGCTTATTCTTAATGAAAATTTTAGAACAAACACAAAAGGGGACCCGCTGTTGCCAAGAGGACTTTGGGAAATGGTGTGAGAGTGTGAATGCTGGATATTAGTCCCAGGGCTCCCCGTCGGAAGAGGCCTGAAGAAGAAGGAAAGAACTGGGGCTCGAGAGAAACATGTATGTCTGTGAGTTATCACAGGCCTCTCGGAGGATTTCCCAGCAGCCCTTACCAGGACTACCTGGGACAGAAGCATCACAGTGTTCCCAGTAGAGGAAGAGAACACTTTTCAACTTCTCCTAATTTTACTCTCACTAACATGAATGGGTTAATGATCGCCACCAGAACCGGCCCCGTAGTTGGAAATTTTGGGTTGGTGGGGCATGAGGAAATTTTGTGGGGCACCCGGGTGGGGGGTGGGGGGGTCAGCTGCACGCCTTCCCTGAACTCCAAGCGTCAGAACTCTGGCTACAGCATTCTGTACTAATTGTAGCTTGTAGCCAACCAGTTTGGTGTAGTGGTGAGGAGCGCGGACTCTAATCTGGGAGAACTGGGTTTGATTCCCCACTCTTCCACATGCAGCTGCTGGTGTGACCTTGGGTCAGTCACAAGATCTCTCAGAGCTGTTCTCAAGAGCGCAATTCTCGAGAGGGCTCTCTCAGCCCCGCCTACCTCACAGGGTGTCTGTTGTGGGGAGGGGAAGGAAAAGGGGTTGTAAGCCGCTCTGAGACTCCTTCGAGTAGTGAAGGGCAGGGTATAAATCTGATCTCCTTTTCATCCTCCTCCTCTTCTGTACAGTCTTCAAGGGGGGCCCCACATAGATCTGATTTATGGTTATATAAATGCCACCAAAACAGTTTTATGACCTGGTAGTGTAACAAAATGAGTCCTTGATTTTGAAACGCTCCTACATGGTGTCAGGAGGCCCCAAATCAATTCCCACCAATATTCGCAGAAAGCCTGGGACAGGTTTTACGTAAATATATCCAGAATTTCAAAGTTCATTGTCATTTATCTTTTGGTGTTCAGTGTTTATTGTGATTCTTTGATCCCAGGTTAGGGAAATCAACATGTATAAAGAAAACGGACTAACGCCCTACAGACAAGAGTTCAAGCCCCAGAACCTGCTTAGGTGTTGGAAGGAATGCATGGAGAAATCTGCCTTTCACACCAGAAGAGCAGCTGTGAAGGAATTCAACAAGCAAAGTTACTGGAAGAAAAAAGGGATTGCCATTATACCCATGAAGTTTCCGGTTGGTTTTTGCACACGCGTTCTAGGTCAGGTCAGTTTGTTTTGAAAAGATACATAAATATCGTTATGGGAAGAGTTGTTCAAGCCGGTACACTGTTTCCCCAAATTGCAAGGAGGAGTTAGTGGACACTTTGTGTCCGTGGGTGCTTTGGTTTGGCCGGAGGAGGAGGGGAGCCTGGGGTGAACTGTGCTGCCTTCCTCCTCCCCCCCTGAGAAGTACCAGGCGGTGGGGGTGGGCGAGCTGACTACCCGCTGCCTCAGCTGCCTCAGACGGCGTGCAGGGATGGAGGAGGCAGGCAGGGGGAGGAGCTCGCTGCTGGTAACACGTGACTCGTCACGTGACCCTGTGGTGATCCTCCCATGCCTTATAGCATTGTTGTTACTGGGTTCAATGGGGGGGAAAACAATTACCTTAGAAGCACAGAAGTTTTACATAGTATCCCAGAGCCTCCACATTTCCTGGTTAAGGGGACAATGCTGTTCAAACAAATTACAATGGTAACAAGAGAAAGAAATTTTACTCACACAAATAGATGCACATCTTACATGACGTATTTTGCCAGTTGATTTCAGTGGGTAAAGGCTGGAGTGCACAGGCCTGCACCTGTAGGGCTGCCAAATGCCCCCGGGGGGTGGATTTCCCCCCCGCTTTCAAGCCCCGATTCCGCGGGAATCGGGGCCCGGGGGAAACCCCACCCCCGTGTGCGCGTCACCTGGAAACAAAGAGTTTTCCCCTCAAATGGCGTGGCCCTGCCCCCAGCGTGCAACGTCACTTCCAGGTGATGCGCGCGCGCACACACGAGCTGGACGCCGGCCGGGAGCCCCCCGCTCCCGGCCAAAATGAATTTGGCAACCCTACACAGCTCCAAGCCCAGGTAAGAGAGAGAAGAAGAAGAAAGGTCCTAAATAAGATGAAAATGGAAGGCAAGCAACAGCCAAAGAGGCTCAACATCTAACCGATGCGTGGTCGGGGCCAACTGCCCAGTGTACCCCAGTGAGAGAATTCTCTTAACCCTTTCCCTCCCAGTTCCTCTTGCATGTAGAGTTACAATGTCCAACAGTTGTAGGGTTGTCATTCCCCCGGCAATGCCGGGGAAACCCCCCAATTTTGGGGGCTTCAGCCCACCGCCCGCTGTCCACTGTCGTCTCTGGGAATGGCGTGCTAAGAGACAGGGAGCAGCCGCTATTTTTGGTGACAGTGTTACACTTTGTACCACGTCTTTTGCAGGTGTGGGACCCCAGTTAGGGCAGGGTCGGGGGGCTGTGGCTCAGCGGCAGTGCGTATGCTCACCGTTATTTATTTATTTCAACTTATAGCCCTCCCTCCCCTGCATACTAATTAAATTAGCCAAAAATAAATTAAATGAAAATAAATAATAACTTCTAAATTTAACTAAATTACTGGAGGGTGCAGGCATTGCGGGTAGGCAGGGCAGAATGGCATGGGAGGATCACCACAGGGTCACGTGACGAGTCACATGTTACCAGCAGCGAGCTCCTCCCCTGCCTGCCTCCTCCATCTCTGCACGCCGTCTGAAGCAGTTGGGGCAGCGGGTAGTCAGCTCGCCCACCCCCACCGCCTGGTACTTCTCAGGGGGGGAGGAGGAAGGCAGCACAGTTCACCCCAGGCTCCCCTCCTCCTCCGGCCAAAGGAAGGAAGGAAATTGCCCTTTGAGCCGGTGTGGCGGCGGCCCAAAGCGGCGTGGCTGACACAAGTTACTTAAATTGAACAGAAAAGGGAAGATTGGGGTTGTGGCATAGCTGATGCAGTAGGGGGCGCCACCTGCTGCGCTCCCACGCAGGCTGCGGCCCTTATTCAGCCTGGAGCCAGTGCAGCTGGTTGTATGTGGGCTGTCGATGGAGTCCCTGTAAGAACCCGCACTGCCACATTCTAAACCTGTTGTGGTTTCCGGGTCAGTCTTGAGGATAGCCCTGCATAGAGTTGAGTGGCCATGCAGGAGGTCCCAGGTTCGATCCCCAGCATCTCCACTTGAAAGGATCAGATAGTAGGGGAAGCAAAAGACCTCTGCCTGAGAGCCCGGAGGGCCCTGGAGAGTAGGAATAGGCAATACTAGCCTAGAGGGACCCATGGTCTGATTCAGTGTGAGGCACCTTCACATGTGTGTGTGAACTCCTGAATAAGAATGGGATTAAGCACTGCTCTTGTCCCACCAGCTTCCAGGTTTTTCTGTTCCCATTGACATTATAGTACCACTGTACAGGTAGTTGTTACATCATGTTGTGTTCTGCGCAACATTTGTGCTGCACGGGCATAATATTTTATTCTTCTGGCCCAGGAGGCTTTCTCCAGCCAGTAAGTGTAACTTCAGAAATGCAGCCGAGACTTACCTGAAAGGGCCGGATTGCTGTGCGGGCCGGAGAGGGCTTTAGGAGAGCCCCCTTCCCTGGGTGTAAACAACTGGATTAGGCTGGAGCCTCGGGTGGCCGTGCCAGCCGGTGCCACGTCATCTGGGTGGGGCCAGCCCGTTTGGCCAGTTCAGGTCTTGGCTGGCTCAGGGTGAGCTAAGCTGGTGGACACAGCAGTGCATGGCAGTGCAGTTGCACAGCCGTGCAATTTTTGTGGGTTTTCTCAGTTCGTTTTTTCTATAGTCATTCAAATGAAACCAGCTCTCTTTTGTTGACTTAGGTTAATACCCCCCCAGATACCGCTGCTCATTTTCTAAAAGTTCTGTGTTTGTTCCTTTATTCCGTTGTGCTTTGGGCTTGGTAGGCAGCCGCTCTGGTTCATTTATATACCGATGGGTCCGTGCTGCTGACGTACGGCGGCGTAGAAATGGGACAAGGACTTCACACCAAAATGATCCAGGTACTCAAGTATCTCTCGTTAACTTGTATGAAACAATTTTGTATGAGATTTCATTTTTCCTTCGTTCATTAAACAATTAAAAGGCCTCTTGTCTGTGTGGTCTGTGAAAGAGGATTTGCAATATTTTCTTGAGACTTTCAGCTGCCCTTGCCCCTTTGTCAAATCTTCTTAACCCACAGTAGTTCATTTTTGTTTGGTTGTTCCCTGGAAGCCAGATTTTAAAGGATAGAGATAGTTTACCGCATCCTGCACTTTGTGTCAGGTTGTCACTGTGTTTGTGAAGCCCGCTCAAGTCTTTTCGTCTTTTAAATTTTTTATTTTCTAAGCTACAAAACTACAGGGTCAGGGTAGTGGAACAACGTAAAATAAAGAGTAACAAGGATCCATAATACAGAAATATAAGATTGTTGATACAGCTCTATTATCTTAATAGTACAACATGAAGATTCTAATACAAAAGTGTCAAGCAAGCAATCACAATCTCTTTAGCTAAGGTGTAAAGATCATGGAATTAAGGTTATGCATTAAAAATAAACATCAGGCTATCAAAACTAATCTGTTTTGCAATTTCCTTTCCTCTTATCAAAATCCAAATTCGTTTTTAAATGGTTTAGGGGCAACAGCCCCTAGTTCTGTTTCAGGATCAATGAGTTTTGCCAGACTCTTCGAGATGGTATCACAGTCTTCCCCATCGTTCTCTTCTTCTTCTTCTTCTGTGTCTTTGTTCTCCTCCACTTTCTCAGGTCCATCTTCCGCTTTCTGTTGTTGCTTCAGGAACATCCGCTTTATTTCTTTCTCGCTGAAATTTCTTTGAGTTCCTAATAGCCTAAGGAAAAACCCAGATCACAGTGGAACACAATGTAAACGGCTTAATCACAGTTAAAAGAAACCGTGGTCTTGTGTTATGTCAGAACCGAGCCATTGTTTTGGTGTATCTTATAGAACTGAAGTCTTCTGGCAATTATGAAGGCTGGGTGGGAGGAAGGCATATAAGCGATGGCTGCGGCAGTCGTATTGGTCTTAAATGATGATGCCAACACATGGAAACTGGTAATGGCTTTGCCAGCCGGAAGATGGCAGAAACTACTGTGATATTGTGGGCCCGGAGCTGAAATTCTCCAGCTCGGCCAGCTGCCCAGTAATTAACCACATGAGCACCATTCCACCTTTTTTTCCTGCTCCAGAAGAGAATCCAAGACAATAGCATGTGTTGAATGAATTTTGGGCTGTACCACTTTTGGATTGTACTGTATAAAGACCCCGCTTGTCCTTAATGCAGATAATGTCCGCATTCATCCCTCTTCCTAGGTTGCTAGCCGAGAATTAAAGATGCCGATGTCAAATATTCACTTTTGTGAGACAAGTACAACGACGGTCCCTAATGCGTGTGCTTCAGTAGGTTCCATGGGAACGGATGTCAACGGGATGGCAGTGAAGGTAACGTAGGAGCGTTAGTAAGACTGTGAGCCTGAGCTCAGCTCTCTGTGCTATGGAAGGGAAGCAACCAGAGACAGGGCTTTCTGAGTGGTGGCGCCATCTTTATGAAATGTCCTTCCTCATAATTTGCATTTATTGGATTTATTTCATTGGATTTTAGGTACCAAGTTAAATAGTCAAATAGCCATTTTAGCACACTGAGTTGCGATTTTAGCACACTGAGGTGTTTTACAGGCTGTGATTTTATAATACTGACTTTATTGATGGCTGTTTTGTCATATTAATTTTTATTATTTTAGTGTTGGGATTTTTGTTCTTGTTTTGTTTCGGACAGTTTGAAATTAATTTTATATGGATTTGAATTTCTATTATTTATTCATTCATTCATTCATTTTTCACCCACACAACCAAAAGTTTGGAGAGATGGGATATAAATGTTCAAAATTAATCTTCGAGCTAATGACAGGAATCCAAGTTTTCCCAGTACCCCCGTTAGCATATCAAAGTATACTGATATGGAGCTGCTTCTGATAGTTAAAGTTAGTTATTGCCACCAAATCTGCTCAACCAGTTTCAGTACATATTTAGTCAGAAGTGTATTCCTAGTTAGGTGCTATGCACAGTTGCTTATCAGTAACTTTGGTTGGTTCCAAGGTTTTTCCTTTCAAGTGGGTGCACTTAGGTTTGCAACATTAAAAAAATGGCAAATGTCTGATTATCATTTAGTCAGTTTTCAGTTATATACCCTGTTTGATAGTGAATAATGTAGGTTACTAGATTTTCTGCTGAGGCACTCTGTGGCGCACTGCTTATTTTGGGGGGTCTGTTTTTACTTTAAAATTACTCTTTGTATATAAACTGCTGCCACCAGGAATTCAAAATTCCAAAAATCTCTCTCTGCTGCTGGTAATGTGACCTAGGGTGTGGGCATTTCAGAGGTTTATGTGGCCCTGAGGAAGGATTGAACTGAAATCTGGGATATACTTAAACAATATTTAATTTATTGATTAAAGATCAAAAATAAGTTGCTGGTTACCTTTAACTGTTTTGAGAATAAAGAACTTTTAAATATAACTGGGTAAGTATCACACACAGTCCTTCTGACACTAAAATTCCACACTGTAAGGAACTCTTTCATATGGGCAGCCACACTGGCTAAGCTCTTTGTCTTATGGACTCTCTCAAAACTTTAGAGTCACACCGACTCTCCTCATAGCTCTTCCACACTTCACTTTTTCAAAGACACATACACAGAACTCTTTAAGTTTCCACACACAACTCTGTCATATCACTCACTGAATTCCCTCAAGACACACACACCAATTCACTCCAAACAGCTCCTTTCACACTCTCAGTCATCCACCAATCATAGCACACTTGTCTCCCTCTATCACTCTTCTTCCAGCACTGCACTCAAACCAAACATTTAAAGACACACACTCACTAAAACAAGGAATCATTACACGCTCTCTTTTCAATGCTGTGGGTTTAATATATAATCTGTGTTGTGAGTATTATCAGGCCTGTAGCCAGGATTTTGTGGCTTGTGCGGCAACTATTTTTGTGGTGGGGCTGAACTTCTCAGTGCAGAAGGAAAAGCCATTTAGCCAATAGAAAGCCACCAGCTAGGTCTCTAACTTGCAAGCTGTCAACCAGTTTAGATGACAGTTCTCAGCTGCTGCAAGTTAATCTCTTCTGCCAGCCTAAGCAACAATTCTGAGAACAAGCCGGCAGGTGGGGGTGATGATTTCTATAGTCAAGAAAGCTAACACTTAGGCAGAAAAACTCTCTTCAAGGAAACCAGTTTCTTGACACAGAGTTAGAAGGGATCCTAGAGGTCACGTACTCCAACCCCCTTGCTCAGTGCAGGAATTAGTCAACTACAGCACCCTACTCTTCTTAAAGGAGTGCACACCTTTAAATTTTTTTTCAAATTACTGAAAAAAGCATGTACAGGAGAAATCCTTGCAGAGCTGTGCCTTTAAGAAAGGGGGCAGAGCCCACAAAAGCCCCACCGTAGCTATGGGCCTGAGTACTATAGAAATGAAGGAATCTGAGTTCTCTCACAGCCAGATTTCCTCTTTCTTCTTTCTGTTCCCGCCAACCGTCAGGATGCCTGCCAGACTCTTCTGAAGCGCCTTGAACCGGTCATTTCTCAGAATCCAAAGGGCTCTTGGAAAGAATGGGTGAGAGCATTTCTACGGATGACATGGTTTTAGAAAACAACAGGAATCTGAGCTGTAATAAAATCCTCTTGGGGCTGGTTCATAGTAAAAGAGGGTGTGGCATGATTGGAGTGGAAGCGGAGTGTCGTCCCCCGCAGTTGGTATTCGGGGACAGAAAGGGTCTGACCCCTGCGGGATCCGTGGAGGCCTGGCTCAGCAAGAGCGGGCTGGCTTGTCATTTAAGATGGCTAAGTAGAAGCGATCTTAATCGGGATGGGGTCTGTCTTCAGGGAGAATGACTGGAGCGTCTGGCTGGCCAGAGCGACTCAAGTCGGTTCTCTCATAAGGGATTCAACTGAAACGGTTGCCAGTCAGATTGGCCGTAAGCTCTGAAGAGATTTAATTAACTTGAATATTAAACCCTTCTGTAACAGTCTTCCTCTGAGAAAGAAACTCAGGCCCCAGTCACACAGCAAAGTTGCCGCGGGAGAGGCACGGAAGGTGGGCGGATTATCCGGGCGCGATCACACCCCAATATCTGGGAAGTGGAGCGCACCCGTGGCTTACCGCTGACAATGCGCCTTAAAAAACGAGTACCTCCAAGGTACTAGTAAACGTTTGCCACGGGCTGTCTCCAGACGCCGGTGGTGTGATCATGCCGGCGCGCGGCATTCCCCTCCGGTCCCTCGTTTACCCGCCGGTGCCAAGGGAAGGACCGGTGGTGTGCCACGCGCACGACTGATCAACTGAAACAGTTGTCAGTCAGATTGGCCGTAAGCTCTGAAGAGATTTAATTAACTTGAATATTAAACTCTTCCGTAACAGTCTTCCTCTGAGAAAGAAACTCAGTAAGCATTTTTTTATGTAGTGTAACAGGTGACCAGAAGCTCTGCCCCAAGGAGTGTTTACATAGAAGCGCAAGCTCTCAGAAGACTGAATTCAAACTTTGCCATTCTTGGGCAGTGGCCAGTGATTTGTCTTTTGATCAAAGTAATTAACAGTGGGCCATCTGTAGCACATTTTAAGAACAGGCTATAGCTGCGTCTGAGGCCTAATTCTTGTGGTTATATGCCATGATGCTCAGTTGTGTCTAGTTTTGTCCCAAACTACTTTCTTTTCTTTTTTTTCAAACAAATGAAACCACGGAAACAGTGGGAGAGCAGCGTAGAAAGGAGGAATGTTTCCAACCTGCACAGTAGCAGGGAAGTACATTCTTTCTTGTTCCCCATCTGCAGTCTGATGTGGCTGCAGCGATTCCTAAGATTTACCAATTCTTACATTTCCCGCCGCCCTTGTAAAATGCTACTGGCACATTCAGAGTTTCTGCAGTAATGTGTACGTGTACTGGATGGTATTAAAAGCAGCGCTGTTGTTTTGGCTGAAGAACTCTGAGCTAGGAGTAACTTACTGTTTTTTCCCCTACCTTCCTACATATGGAAGAGATGTGCTAGAGGCAAAATTGCTTGCTGGTTTTTGCACGGTACTGTAGCGTGTTTATACAATATGGTTTGGAGGAAGAATAAGCTTACTATAGTTCTCTCTTCTACAGGCAAAGGAAGCTTTTGAACAGAGCATTAATCTGTCAGCAACAGGTTTTTTCAGGTAAGACGTTTGAACTCCTTTCGGCAGCCTATGTCACCTGATGAACTAATAACTTTAAGAAGTCAGCGCCCAAGGATACTACCAGTGCAATCCTGAACACAGTTGCATCCTTCCACTTTGATGGACTTAGAACAATTTGACTCTGTTTAGGATTACACTGTTCTGACAGAACATGATTAAGCGAGGATTGCATTGAATATGAATGAATAACTTTGTATTTTCGGTGACATTGTAGCCTTTCCAGATTTAAAAATAAAGAGCAGGGGTCGCATCACAACTACAACACCAGAAAAGAAAATATTCGCTCAAGAAGTCTGAATACGTGATTGGTGGAAAGCATTTGAGGATGCTTACCTGTGGAGGTTCATGTACTGAGTTAAAAGTGCCGTTCTTCATACAGAAGCCTTTCAGAGATTTGTTTTCTTAAAAGAAAAGCTTTATAGGACTGCAGGGAATTCTGAATGCTTAAGACTGAGTATGATTAACAGCCTGAAGGTGGGACTTGGATTTCTCCCAGAATTACAACTGATCGCCAAGCTACAGAGATCCCTTCCCCTGGAGGAAATGGCCGCTTCAGAGAGTAGATAATGCTGTTATACCATGGAGTCCAGGAGAACTGAAGTCCTAGAGTGGCTACAGAGTGTGAATGCTGTAGAATTTCTGTTTCTCTTATGGCATGCCATAGAGACTAGGATAAACTGGTAGTCACCTGTTAATAGAACAAAAGTTAGAGTCCAGTGGCACCTTTTAAGACCAACAAAGTTTTATTCAAGCTGTGAGCTTTAACGTTGTTCTATTGCTTCAGACCAACACGGCCGCCCACCTTCAGTCACCTGTTAAGATACTAAAGGCCAGAGGCTGGTTGGAGATTGAGAGACAAGTGAAACTGCTTGTGACTGTGTCATGGGCCTTCAGAGTAGACTTTCTCCTTGACATTGAGAAGAACCTGAAGAGGACTTTAAGAGGTTTTTTAAAGTTGAGTGGAACATGACCAGATCGCAGCCTGTAAGATGGGGCTCTTCTACCGGGCTTTCCGTTAAGGCAGCGGGCATCCATTTTGATCTGCGCCCCCCCCCTCCAGTGACCTCAGATCCTAGAAGCCGATTGAAACGATAACATCGCCAGAATTAATACCATCTGTCAAGGCACACTATGTGTTTTTTTAGTGTTTTACTGATTTTAAGGAATTTAATTAAAGTTGTATCAATGGTTGTTTTAAATTGTATGTCTGCAGTCTTGCAGATCTGTATGTTTGGAACCTGCCCCTGACCCTGCTATGCGGGGAGGGCGGGATACAAATCCAATAAAATAAATAAATAATGGCCTGCCCAGGTGCCTCACTGCGTCTGCGCTAGCTCCGAGCCTCAGAGAGCCGACTTGCTTTGGCTCCTTGAGAGCCTCAGAAAGCCGACAGCCAAACTTGATGTCTGGTGAAGACGGTGTGAGGTGCCTGGGCCGGCCATTAGACAATGGCCCACCCAGGCGCCTCACTGCATCTGCGCTGGCCAGCAAGTTGGGCTGTCGGCTGTCCGAGGCACTCGGAGAGCTGATGGCCGCTCTCACTGGCTGGCGAAGACTGGGGGAGGAAGGCTCTGTCCTAATCATGCGGGGGGGGGGGCACTCAGCCCCTAAAGCTCACTGCTGGCTTCAGCCCTGTGCTGAAATGCCATTGCCATGGATGGCACCGTTCCATAGCTTTCACTCGCATCATTCTTTCCACCACTTCTTCCAGGGGTTATGAAGCAAACTTTGACTGGGAGAAGGGGGAAGGCTGGCCGTTTGAATATTTCATTTTTGGAGCTATTTGCACCGAGGTTGAAATAGACTGTCTGACTGGAGATCGCAAGGTAACCACTGGACTTTACTTAGGAATAAAGCAAAACCTATAGCTGATATTCTGCAGTACTTTCAAGTTAGGCTTGGAAGGTTTCGTACAGCTTAGTTTCTTGGACACTCTTCAAGTCTACGTATGTATGTTTGTGTTGTGTTTGTTCCTTATAAAAGAAAATTAAAATTAAAAAGTCCTTTTTTAAAATCTCATTAAATACAAACTCTGACACGTCTAGCTGTTTTTTCTCAGTTAGTGTACTGTGTTTCCTCTCCTCTGATTTTAAAATTTTTATTTAGGACTGCATTTGACTAATTTAGTTTTTCTTTATTGGAAGTGCTAACTGAGATTTTAAACTGTCATCTTTTATATGCTTTATAACTGTTGTTTTATTTCTGTTGCAAGCCACCTTGAGTGCCACCTGGTAGAAAGGTGGTTAATAAACGTTATAAATAAATAAATGATGTAATACAAACTTTCAATTTGTACTTCTTGACAGAATGTCACAACAGACATTGTTATGGATATTGGCTGCAGCATCAATCCTGCAGTGGATATAGGTCAGGTACGTCATGAGAATGTATTTGTTTTCGTGGTTCAGCTATACAAAAGAGTCCTCCATCTCTTATTGGCGCACACTGCACAGCAACATCTAAGGCCGCATCCTGCACTGAACGGGTATCTAGTAGAGGAGTGCATTTGGCTATATCCAAACCAAAAAAGTCTGGTATTTTCCAGCTATTCTCTTAGCTGGATATAGATTGGGGTATTTTTTTTGGCTATCTGAAATGGCCAATCCACAAAAATCCCGATAAGATTTGGGATTTTTTGGGACCGCAAAACAGTTGAATTTAAGGGTTGTTTAAAGGGATTGCAATCCCTTTAGACGCCTTCCAGGTGAATTCACCACTTGGAGAAGGCATTTAAAGGGACCACAATCTCTTTAAACACTTCCCCCCCCCTACACTGAAACCAATGGAGGATGGAGTCACCTTCTTTGAGGGTCCACTGAATTGGATCCCATAGTCCAAACTTTTTGAAACATGAGGGGTTTGCTGTACAGTGAAAAAGAAGGCAGAAAAATAGACACAGTGATAAGGATGCAATCAGTGTTCCCTGTAAGCTGAGTTATTGTAAGCCAGCTCACAGTTTTTTAGCCTCCGGCTCGCACATTTTTGTCTTAGCTAGAGAAGGATGGCTCCAGAGCAAACTAATTTATGCAGTAGCCAAATCGCCCGCTCACAACTTTAATGCCAGGAGCTCACAAAGTAGAATGTTTGCTTACAAGACTCCTCAACATAGAGGGAACATTGGATGCAATGTCTGTTTATAAAATTCTGGAGATCTAATGATATTATTAACTATGATTCCATTTTGTAGCATATGGTTCTGCCTTTTTAATTATTGTTTTTTGTGAGAGCCTGCATGGTGTAGTGGTTAAGCGCAGCAGACTCTAATCTGGAGAACCAGGTTGGATTCCCCCACTCCTCCACATGCGGCCTGCTGGGTGACCTTGGGCCAGTCACAGTTCTCTCAGGACTCTCTCAGCCCCACCTGCCTCCCAAGGTGCCTGTTTTGGGGAGAGGAAGGGAAGGTGACTGTAAACTGCTTTGAGACACATGAAGCCTGCTGGGTGACCTTGGGCCAGTCACGGTTCGTTCAGGATTCTCTCAGCCCCACCCACCTGCCTCACAAGGTGCCTGTTGTGGGAAGAGGAAGGGAAGGCGATTATAAGCTGCTTAAGGTAGAGAAAAGCAGGGTATAAAAACCTACCCTTCTTTTTGTTTGTTTTATTTAATACTTTAAAAGAAATTAATTTCTAGCTAATGCTACCTTTAGCACAAGGTGGTAGTTAGTAGAGCTCTGGTACTCAAGTGTTACTTCCTGTTGTTAGATCGAAGGCGCCTTTGTTCAAGGTCTTGGACTTTACACAATGGAGGAAATCAAATACTCCCCCGAAGGCGACCTCTACACAAGAGGTCCAGATCAGTATAAAATCCCTGCGGTGTGTGATATCCCTGAACATTTCAGTGTCTCCTTGCTGGCTTCTTCCGAAAGCACAACAGCCATCTACTCGTCCAAGGTAAGAGAACTAAATCCAAGCTGTATTAAACACTAACGAATCCCAGTATTGAGATAAAAGAGACATTTGTAAGATAAATTTATAAGAGAAAGGAATTATACTGAGATTAAGCTGTTCATGGTTCAGACCCTGAAGATTATGTTATTATTTTTTTTGAAAACATTGGCTGCAGTTCTCTGTCGCTTGATATATGCATGGTTGTCATTGAAATTAGCTGGGATCTAAGTGTGCATTAGGGATGCCAGCCTCCAGGTGGGACCTGGGGATCCCCCCGGAATTACAGTTCATCTCCAGAATACAGAGATCAGTTCCCCTGGAGAAAACATGCTTTGCAGGGTGGACTCTATGGTACTGTCCTCCAGCTGAGGTCTATGGTTGCCAGGTCTTCCCAGGCAGCTGGCAGGGGATGGGAAGTGGGCTTACCAGGAGCTGGGACTCTCACCCGATGTTTCAGTGAGATCCCCAACGTGACTTCCGACATGACTCTGAAGTAACGTTGGGACGTCAGGGCGACTCTCTGGGGTTTTTTTGGGGGGGAACTCTATGGTAGAATTCACTTCTACCATAGAGTGTTTCCCCAAAAACCAGAGCATCACCCCAACATCCCCATAAAAGCTAATCAAAAAACAGTTTTGTTTTGTTTTTTAATAGAAATGGCTCTACAGTTAATCTGTGTACATGGGGGAGGGCGGCAGGAGTGACTCAGTGTTAAGAATATCTCTAAGAAATTCCAACAAGGTTAATGGGGCGTGCTGATGACATATGTAGGGAAGTGCTATACTTTATGTCCATCAGTGGCTATTAGCCACAAGGTATAGACGGAAGACCATTTTTGGCCACTGTGTGACACAGAGTGTCGGACTGGACGGGCCTTTGGCCTGATCCAACATTGGCTTCTCTTATGTTCTTATGTTTAAGACTCTGTCTGGGGCAGTGATGCTCTGTTTTCTTGGTGCTTGTGGGGCAACAGTGGGAGGGCTTCTAGAGTTCTGGCCCTGCTGGTGGACCTCCAGAATTGCACCTGGGTTTTGGACTCTGCATGACGCAGAGTGTTGGGCTGGGTGGGCCATTGGCCTGATCCAACATGGCTTCTCTTACGTTCTTATGTAAAATAGACCATCTCTTTTCTAACATGCTTCGAAAGGCCTCCCCCCCAATCATTCTCTTTTTATGCATTTGTTTTGCGTTGCTTTGTTTTTGGCAGGGCCTTGGTGAATCGGGGCTTTTCCTGGGATGCTCCGTGTTCTTTGCATTGTGGGACGCAGTGGCCGCTGCAAGAAGAGAAAGGGGGTTGTCTGGGGACTTTGGGCTGAACAGTCCCCTGACCCCGGAACGCATTCGAATGGCCTGTGTGGACCAGTTTACTGAAATGGTAAAGAGGTTTTCCGCTTGTGTTGAGACACTGCGTAATCGATCCCTGTTCATCCAGCAAAGAAAGGCAACCAGGATTGGTTTAATTTCAGTGTTCCTCTGTCCGAACCCGGGGCTGAAAAATCATCTGGTATCAGGAGGCCCTATCCCCCCAGATTAAACTAACCTTGATCTAGGGAGTTAAGGGTTGCTTAACATGCAACGCCCAATACATTGTCTGGCAGTGTTACCGTGGGCAAAAAGATCTACTCATTTTGGAAGCTGATCCTCCTCCACAGTTTTCACCAGTTTCTGGTTTGGGCATTGAAGTCACAGACACATGGAGCTGCCTTATACTGAATCAGACCATTAGTCCATCGAGGTCTGGGAGCAGATTTCCAGGGTTTCAGGTACAGGTCTTTCCCATCACCAGCCACTTGATCTTTTCACCTGAAGACGGTAGGGATTTGTCCCTGGGATCTTCTGCATACCAAGCAGATGCTCTACCACTGAGCCACAGCCCCTCCATCTGAGGAGTTAGAGTATCTGCTTGGCATGCAGGAAGAGGAGGAGGAGGATGGATTTAGACCCCACTCTTCATGACCCGAAGGAGCCTTAGAGTGGTTTACAATCCCTTTCCCTTCCCCTCCCCACCAGAGACACCCTGTGAGGCAGGTAGGGCTGAGAGAGCTCCCCCGAGAACTGCCCTTGAGAGAACAGCTCTGAGAGAACTTGTGACTGACCCAAGGTCACACCAGCAGCTGCAAGTGGAGGCATGGGGAATCAAACGCAGTTCTCCCAGATTAGAGTCCATGCTCCTAACGACTACACCAAGAAGGTCCCAGACACAACTTCATTTAGATTT